CTGTGCTGACTGCATCTTATTTTGTGGTATTTAATTTTATATAAAAAAATTCTGTTTTTATTGTTTAATGTTTATATTTAGTATTATTGAATTGTATTAGGTATCGTATTTAGCCCATTTACGTGTGAAATATTATTCAATAAATCTATTGAATTATTATTCTGTTTTTTATTGTTTGATGTTTTTATTTAGAATTATTGAATTTAATTATATTACTTAGGTATCGTATTTAGCCCATTTACTTGTGAAATATCATTCAATAAGTGAATTGAATTGTTGTTATTATTAATGTGGTACATTTATATATTTAGTTTTGTTTTGTTTGTTTTTGTAATGTTTTACTTTTATTATTATTGAAATAAATTTAATTATTCATTATATTTTATCCTGTACTCTGGTTTAGTGCTTGGCCATTGTTGAGCACTTAAATAAATGAATTGATTTGAATTTGTGTCCTTTAATTTTTTATAAGAACCGAATGTTTAATTCAAAATAACAAATTGGGTTGTTAATCATGGGAGACTTTCAATGTATTAACTATCTACCATTAGGATTTGAGGGTTACACAATTATTTCAGAATAAACTGTGATCTTATGGGTCATTCTGCTATAACTATATCACTTTAACAATTGTCCAGTTGTTATTTTTGCCACAGGAACCAAGCCATCATCCATTCAGGGGTAGACAAAGTAACACAGTGGTCTTATATACATGGAAAAGAGACAACATGATCCATCCATGTTTCACCATTGCTGTAATATGCTGTTAAATATAATCAGAATATAAATAATTGTAATTGCATGACAATAAATATGATGCACAACTTCAATATAATTTATGAAAATCAACCTGCTAGATAAACACTTGTCTGCAAATAGCTTGACAATCTCCCTAGTTGCAAAGTAGAAGATGAGCCCGAATGTGATAGAAATGGGAAGTGCTGGTAACGCTTTCTTAAAAATGTCTATTAACAGCAATGTGAGGCACAGGCCCTGCAATGAAATAACACTGTTTATGATTCAAGGAACTCCTAGATTTATTTCCTCTATTTATTTAATGACACTTTATCATCTATGAACTGGCAATCGGAAGGTAAACTGCCATCCCCAAACAAATATGTTTAAGTGCATCATTGCTCCAAATTCATCTACCACTGCCCCATTAGGCATACAGCAGCCCTGACTATTATCATACCCTCCAAACTAAGTTAGGGGCTTCAACCAGCACTTGGCTGGTCTTGGAGTTAAGATAGTTTCCAGTTATAATGATCATTATTTCATCACAACTGATTGCCATCTGACTTCCTCTCTTATATCTGTAGCTATGTACCGGCCTTTAACACTTACAATAAGGATGGTAACAAAGCAGGAGAGAGTGGTATTCCAGTCACCATAGGATGATGCCTTGCCAACCAGAAAATGAAGTCTCCTAGACCAAGTTTCACGCCACCTGCAAAAATGCACAGTATAACTAAGCATGGTCTGCATCCCTAACTTGTTTGAATATGACTATTTTACTAAAAATAATGTTTACTGCATTTCTGTGTTCAATCCCAGCTTCACAATAATATCCATCTGACTACCATACCTTTCAAAGAGCATTATGTGAATATATTTTTTTAAATATCCCAATGTTTTAAGGTAACTCAAATCTTTATATTCAGGAGTGACTATACGAGGTGCGATCAGAAAGTTTCCAGACTGTGTCAATAGAGGGTGAACCGGATGTAGTACGAGCTTCTGCCGCTAGGGGGTGCGGCCTACATTCATAGTGAATCAGTGTGCCAGCCGGCATCATCGAATTAGCATTTGTTTCTTAGTTACGGGCGTTTTGGTAGTGCATTACACCGACCCTCCTGCGATTTCGGAATGGCGGATTTTCATGAACAAAGAGTGTGCATCAAATTTTGCCAAAGACTCGCCAAAACCGCTACGGAAACCTATGAAATGCTAAAGCAAGCATTTGGGGAAATACTTCGAAATGGGTCGTGCACAAACTTTTGTGTGACATTCACGTTTTAAAAATGGCCGAACCCCTGTCGATGATGACGAGCATTCTGGACGACCATCTTCGAGCACAACGCCCGAAAATGTTACGAAGATCGACGTCGTACCATCAACGACTTGTGCGACATTGTTGGGACCTGTCAGCTGATTCTAAAGGAAGAACTCCACATGCGACGCATCCTGTCTGAGGACCAGAAGCAGAATCGACTTCTCGTTTGTCAGGAGCTCAAAGATCTTGCAAGAACCGACCCCAACTTCCTTTCTAAGCTCCGTGTGACTTCTTCCTCTTCCCAAAGATGAAAATTCAGCTAAAGGGAAGGAGATTTGAGACGATAGAAGAGATTCAGGCAGAATCGCAGATGGTGCTTGACAGGCTGACAAAGAAAGATTTCCAGGGATGCTTCCAGGCTTGGCAGCGGCGCTGGGATCGTTGTGTTCACTCCCAGGGGAACTACTTCGAGGGTGATGGATGAATTTAATACCTGAGATAAGTGCACGGGTTTTTATACGCGCAGTCTGGAAACCTTCCGATCGCACCTCGTATATAATAAAGACTGACTGTTCTGTCCCTATAGTTGTTGTTGTTGTTTCCCGGCTTTACAACACTGTTTCGGGGTTTTCGCAGCCTCCTTTGTCAGGGGTTTCTTAGTCTTTTGAAGTGTGCATTTGAGTAGTGAGTGACCAACCCACTGCCTCTGCACAATTTCTACTCAATCCTGATTTTGACTACTAGTCTGGTAGATGTTTACCAACGTTTCAGAGGTCGTACTGCCTCCATCATCAGGGCGCCCTGATGACAGAGGCAGTATGACCTCTGAAACGTTGGTGGACATCTACCAGACTACACAGCGCAACAAACCAGAAGACAGCAATCTTCAAATATATATTTAAAATAAAATGGACCATACTGCTACACAGTTGTATAAAATTTCACAACAATTTTCTGCATTCTACCACGAGTATAATTTGTTCCTTCCTTTGAAATTAAAAATATCAGCCATCTTATATACTACATTATTTCAATGTCTTTATCATTCATATTACAAAAACTTATCTAAAAGCTCCCTAATAGTAGCAACATTTGTAAATAAAATACAAAGCTCCCTAATAGTAGCAACATTTGTTAAAATATTAAAGTCTTTTATAGCAGACAGACAACTTTTAAACATCTATGAGTGCTACAAAACATCAAATCAGTATTTACATAATAAAAGAGTACTAGAAGCAATACATTTCTGACCTTTCTTAGATATTAATCGCAGATCCTATCTTTTTTTTAAAGTGGTGCATGTATCTACATACATTATCTGAGGCCTTGAGCAGAATTGAATCACACGTTCTTCCACTTCCACCTGTTGTTCATGTCCTTGCTGCTGTGGGAATGTTCTGTAATCTGAGACATGTCCACTAGATGCTTCCCTAACTTCCCCTTGCCTGCGGGCTGCATTTGCCTCGTGGTTTGAAACCCATTCACGAGAGAACCCGCTTTCTGAATCTGCGTCCGCATCAGGGATGGGGAAGGCAGGAGCATCCAGCAGTAGTAGTATTAGAGGTAGCAGCAGCACAAGTGGTATGACTAGCAGATTCTTGTTCATCATCACCAGCAATGCTTACATAACTGTACATGTATGTTGCTAGAATACAGAATATCCATTCAGATATTATGTTGCACATTTCAATCCATTCTTAAAGTCTTTATATTTAACTTCAATGGAGTATGTTTATAGGGTTATGGCCCAATTTACACTACTTTGTACAGTCAGTGGTACAAAAAATGACTTTACCACATTTAAATTTGATGACATGTTTATTTTTCATACAAGATACTTTCATTCTACAAATTACACTGCAATATGATAGTGTCTAATGCAGGGGTGGCCAACCCGCGGCCCGCGGGTGGCCCGCCTTGAACATTTTTTCGGGCCGC